CCCCAAAACCCCAAAACCCCAAAACCCCAAAACCCCAAAAACTTATTTATTCGTTGAACTATTTTTGTCATGGGAATCGGTCTCCTTCCTATCTCTAAATAAGATCAACTCTAAAGAGGGACCCTGAAATGCTGAGCTTGGTCCGTGAACATCTATGGTATCTTGGCCATCAAAAGCAGACTGATCCTCTTTAGATTCTTCCTTTGAACTTAAGGCATTCTGCTGTGACATATCTGGTTCAGAATATGTTGAAATAAGTTCAAGTTCTATTAATTTCTTCAGGATTTCATCAATGTGGATTGTCCTTCAATCAAGTAGTTTCACTAGTCTCAGATCTTTCGAGAAGTCAACTACATATTGATCCTCAGAGACACAACAATTGTTCTCAATGAGGTACCCTAGGAAGGCTCTTGAGATCTCGGGTCCTGTAAGTACACTCTCTATCTGTAAGAGTTTAGTAATATGGTAAGATACGATGTATTTATCCGTTTTATGATGGCTTTTCCTAGCAAACATTCTCCTGATTTTAGTCTCCTTTTTATGACTTGTTCACATTACTACATCTTGGCACTCTTGGCTCTGATCCTCAGCAGGAATAATCCTCTTCTTGATAAGAGTTGGTCTTTCAAGTTCTTCATCCTCTTCAGAATTCAAGATTATGTTATCTGGGAGCTGGTCTTTGGAGTAACAACTTTCTTTTTTGTTATCTTTGATCATCTTCTTCATTAGGGAAACACTTCTCTTGCTATATCTCACTGAATTTTCTGTGATTTCTCGCAGATCCATTATTGAACTCTCAATATTAGGCAACATGGCATTAATTTCATCAAGTTTTTTATGAATCTCTTTGATTTCTCTCTTGGAGCAGCCATCAAAAGCTGAGTTCTCTACCGACTGAAATGAGTCAAGACATAAAGAGTCCAGAGCTGGAGCAAGTTCTTGAGAATTTATAGGAGCCATTGCCTCCTGTTTTTGGAGAGAATTTCCGTTTTGTGTGGACATGACCTCATCTTCAATAATTTCTAATATAACCGGGGTTTTGGGGTTTTGGGGTTTTGGGGTTTTGGGGTTTTGGGG